GTTAGCTAAGTTTTCGAAAAAATACGCTGTTGGTTTTAACTTCGTAGCAAATCGTCGTCTTCCTCCCTTTCGTCCGATATGGGCCACAAAGGCTTGTATTTTTTTTTTATTTTTTTTACTTTTTTTTTTAACCCTGTGCAATTGCTTTTTGCCGTGTCTCAATAATATTCCTCTTAGGATTGGATTGGCTTTTTACCCCACCAGGACACCACACAAGCGATAAACACCCGATGACACAAAGTGCCACCATGCGGATGTTGATCACCGTGGAGAGGTCCCAGAAACCGCGTTCAGACATTTGGCCATAATGATGACCTGCCTATATTACGGCCCCTGGCAAAAGCCAGAGTGGGGCTTCAAATAACAAAAAATAACGTCCTAAGAAGGACGTAAGGATCCTCTTAGGGTTTTTCTTTTGAACGTCCTCATCTCTTCGGTGCATTTATTTTTGGTTTACAAACACTTTTTTGGCTATTCTCCTCAGGATATACCTTTTGGGATTGGTTCGCATTAATTATTTAAGTGCACCGTTTTCGCAGAAAACGTTCAGTAATGTAAATAGCTTTTGTAAGATGAGCCATAACTATTTCAGTCTTAGATTGACAGTGAAGTAAAAATGGTATAATCATTGTCGTTAGTTTGAATCCCCACGCCTGCTTTTGGCAAGGGCCGCAATGCAGCTTAACGGTTGAACGTGGTTTCTGCGACCTCTCCACATGTGATCCTCATCGGCATGGTGGTACTATGTGCCACCGGGCGTTTGTCGCTCTGTGTGATGACCTGGTGGGGTAAAATTTACTTACTACTCCCTCCCTTTCTCTCTCTCTCTCTCTCTCTCTCTCTCTCTCTCTCTCTCTCTCTCTCTCTCTCTCTCTCTCTCTCTCTCGAGGATATGACATGACCCTGATCCCCCCCCCCCCAACCAGCATACATGTGATTAACAATAAGTCAATGGTTTCTGCAACAAGGGATACAGAAAGTATAGAATACGTTTTGCTTAAAACGTGTTCTTAATCTATAATTAAATTCGTGTGTTATCATATTAATAGTAGTAGTAGTAGTAGTAGTAGTAGTAGTAGTAGTAGTAGTAGTAGTAGTAGTAGTAGTAGTAGTAGTAGTAGTAGTAGTAGTAGTAGTAGTAGTAGTAGTAGTAGTAGTAGTAGTAGTAGCACATTTTACCCCACTATGACACCACACAAGCGATAAACACCCGATGACACAAAGTGTCACAATGTGAATGAGGATCACCCATGGAGACGTCCTGAAAACCGCGTTCAGCCATTAGACCATATTTGTGGCCGGACGATATTGCGGCCTCTGGTAAGAAACCGGGTGGGGCTTCAAAAAAACGAAAAATTGACTGACTGACTGACTTTCTACCCCACCAGGACACCACACAAGCGACAAACACCCGATGACACAAAGTGCCACCATGTGGGTGGGGATCACAGTGGAGAGGTCCCAGAAACCGCGTTCAGACAATTGGCCACATTCATGGCCTGCGTATATTGCGGCCCCTGTCAAAAGCCAGAGTGGGGCTTCGTATAACAGAAAATTACGTCCTAAAAAGGACGTAAGGATAAGTAATATGTATCATCATATTAAATGAATTTTTAACTGTAAATGTACATACTGCTTATGACAACAAAAGTATCCTGGTCGTTTTGTTTGTAAGTAGTTTTTAAAATAATAAGTTAATTATAATTATACTGAAACAAAAAGTTAATGCACTAAAACTCAAATACACTAATTTTTAACATTGCTTGACGCCCCTCGCCCTTTTCTTTTGAAACCTCCTTACGCTCCCCTGGCTAGAGAACACTGGTTTAAAGTTGCTAGAGATAAATATAATGTCGTTGTCTCCCCTTGCATTTCACGTTCCCTTGGCTAACCGTCCGAACCTTCAGCAATCTTTTAGATTGCTAGGGTAAGTGAGTACCATGCTCTGTGGTGCTTTTCTTGTTTCATATATTATAATATATTTAGCTTTTTTGGGTATAATAAACAGTAAACAGATAATAAACATTAAACGGCTCCTGGTTTTTTTTTTTTTAAACTGACGTATTAGACTATAAAAAAGTGAAGAAAAAGTTAAGATCCTTTTTCAAGCCATAGGCGCATCGGGCATATGAGAAGAACATCTCATATTTTTACAGACCAGTCGGAACTATGTGGGTAATGTAGTCAGCATTACGCCAGCCGTCTCTGCTTCACCAGGACAGCCATCCTGGTACCCAATTTACGCTGGGTCGGCCTGTGACGCCCCATACCATAATAAAAATCCACGCAACCAGCAGTGGGTTTCGATCGCGGTACGTCCGAATTACGAGTCAGACTGGCAACGCCTAAGCCACGGACGCCGCTGTATTTGACTAAACTGAGGCCATATTTATGTGTCATCCAGTATGATGCAGAAAAATTAGTCTAATATGTTAGGAAAAGAAAGGGCCAGAAAAGGAACAGTGGGGGAGATATATGTCTGAAGCTAAAAAAGCTGTGTAACAAGTTATACTATAAGTCAAAGTGAGTTTAGAATCATATCAGACGACAGAAACTATTGGAAAGTCGTGATGATAGATGGTCTGCTTTAGGCCAGCTATCTATGGAAGAAGGAGGGGAGGAGGCTGAAAGAAAGAAAGAAAGAAAGAAAGAAAGAAAGAAAGAAAGAAAGAAAGAAAGAAAGAAAGAAAGAAAGAAAGAAAGAAAAAGAAAGAAAGAAAGAAAGAAAGAAAGAAAGAAAGAAAGAAAGAAAGAAAGAAAGAAAGAAAGAAAGAAAGAAAGAAAGAAAGAAAGAAAGAAAGAAAGAAAGAAAGAAAGAAAGAAAGAAAGAAAGAAAGAAAGCTAAAGGAAAAAAGTGCGTGCCGGCAAGAAAAGAAAGAAAGAAAGAAAGAAAGAAAGAAAGAAAGAAAGAAAGAAAGAAAGAAAGAAAGAAAGAAAGAAAGAAAGAAAGACAGACAGACAGACAGACAGACAGACAGACAGACAGACAGACAGACAGACAGACAGACAGACAGACAGACAGACAGACAGACAGACAGACAGACAGACAGAAACAAACAAACAATTAAACAAACAAGAAATTATTTTTATCATCGTCATTATCATATAAGTCATCATTATTGGTCATCATTATTGGTCATCATTAATGGTCATCATTATTGGTCATCATTATTGGTCATCATTATTAGTCATCATTATTGGTCATCATTATTGGTCATCATTATTGGTCATAGTTATTGGTCATCATTATTGGTCATCATTATTGGTCATCCTTACTGGTCATCATTATTGGTCATCATTATTGGTCATCATTATTGGTCATCATTATTGGTCATCATTATTGGTCGTCATTATTGGTCATCATTATTAGCCATAATTATAAGTCATCATTATTAGTCATCATTATTGGTCATCACTATTGGTCATCATTATTGGTCATCATTATTGGTCATCATTATTGGTCATCATTATTGGTCATCATTATTGGTCATCATTATTGGTCATCATTATTGGTCATCATTATTGGTCATCATTATTGTTCATCATTATTGTTCATCATTATTAGTCATAATTAATAAACATCATTCAGCTTACAGGAACTAAATGTTTGTTTACAAAGCTCACTAATCTAGCTCTAAATACAAACAGATTTTGAACAGAAAGCTCATAAGGGAGAAGTTGAAGGATGCACACAAATACACCCCCATGTTTCTACCAAAGCCTTTATCAACCGAGTAAAATAACACATCCTAAGATTGCGCAAGGAGTATCTGAAGCTCGTAAGCAATATATTCAGTAGATTAAATGTCAGCAGTCGATTTAATACGACACAAAACGCCAGACACAAATGTAGATATCAGAGAACATACTCATCTAATCCAGTTTGTCCGAGGGAGTCTTGTCAGGGTGTCGCGACAACATAGTGCTGATCCAAGATTAGTGCGTACGTTTCCTGTTTGTCTCTAATCAGTGGGTCGCCTGCGGGAGAGTCGGTAGCCCATCTTCCTGCAGGGCGCCAAGTCCCACGTGTCACTCATTTTGGGTTATGGGTTAGGCGGTACTAGTAACATTTTTGGCCCCAAACAAACACTGGTTGAAATTTCATTCATAGTTGCTGACTTTTTACAGGCTAGTCTATATTACAGGGGCGTCACGCTATTTTGTCTTTGATGCTCTTAACAGCGATGTCGCGTGTTCTATATTAAATGATGTGATCGCTTTTAACGACCCAAGAACATCTATAACTGGCCCTTACCTCCCACTTCCCCCCCCCCACCCTACGAGTGTGAAGTGGTGAATGAGTGAGTGATTTAGTGAGTGAATAGATGGGTTGGTGAGTGCGTGCGTGCGTGCGTGCATGAGTGATCGAGTGAGTGAGTGAGTGAGTGAGTGAGTGAGTGAGTGAGTGAGTGAGTGAGTGAGTGAGTGAGTGAGTGAGTGAGTGAGTGAGTGAGTGAGTGAGTGAGTGAGTGAGTGAGTGAGTGAGTGAGTGAGTGAGTGAGTGAGTGCGTGAGTGAGTGAGTGAGTGAGTGAGTGAGTGAGTGAGTGAGTGAGTGAGTGAGTGAGTGAGTGATTGAGTGAGTGAGTAAGTGAGTGAGTGAGTGTGTAAGTGAGTGATTGTGTGGATATATAGATGGGTGGGTTAGTGAGTGAGTGAATGAGGGAGGGAGTGAGTGAGGAGTGAGGGAGGGAGTGAGTCAGTGAGGAAATTAAAAGAGAGACATAGAATTTAACAATGCATAATAGCAAACAAGTTATTTGTAGAGATAATATAAAATAAAAAGAACCTAGCTGTGTTTCTGAGAAAGTGCTGTGTATATGAATATGTAGTGTAGACTTGAGAGATAGAGACATGGAGGGAGCGAGAGAGAGAGAGAGAAGTGTGAGGAGAGAAGGGGCTATGGAAAATGAAGGCAAAAGAAAAACAGTGAGACAAAAAATAGCAGACATACGGGCAGACAGACAAACAGGCGCACAGCTAGGCAGACATACAGCCATACCTGAACAGCAAACGTGTCACTTGCTCCGACAAGATCAGAAACTGGGCCTCCCTATGCTCATTAGGGTCTACCCCGTTTTCTAGAATATTCTCTCGGATGGCGTCTACTGAAAAATCTGTATTCACCAGATTGACTGCTGATGGACGTTTACTTCTCGATGAACTATACTCGTAGTCAACTTCATCCTCCACAGGCTCCTGTGTATCGACTAGTAAGATAGGAAGGTCTGGACTTATTTGTTCTTCTATGAGCCGTTTTATGTATAAAATGGAAGTACTGGTCTCTTCATCTGAGTAGACAGACACGCCATCACTGTACATTGCATTTCTAATCAATTCTTCATCTTCATTGCCGAACTCGGAAGATCTCACAGTGTACACTATTATTTCATCGCTGGTTATAATGGTGGGATGTTTGGAGTCTACCACCATTTCAGATATCAACTTCGTCTGTGTCGGTGAATAAGACTGACACTGCCGACTTTTCAGACTGATATGTAGAAATTGTTTGCCTTTTATTTTCGGTCATGGCTGCCAGTTTTCCCAGCCGGTACACAGAAGCGAAGTGATATTTTAGCGTGGGATTGTTCAGGTGAAACAAGTCGGGACCTAGGTGAACCAGGGGAAATCTGGTGTCCTTCAGTGGTACCTCTTTAACGGGAAGATAGCTGATGAGTTTTTGTACTCTGTGTTCAACTATGGTTTTTCCTATCCTCTTTTCGAGTTCCGTATCAATTTCTTCCCGAATGCGACGATAAGGGTCGTACTGACGTGTGATTCCCCAAAGCCGAGTAATAATATTAGCGCCATTTTCCAAGACCGGCTGAGTTAGCAATTGCCAGTCTTCGGAGTAAACACCAGGTTCTATACCTTTATATAACACCGGGACTCTGTATGTGTCTCCCGGTAAGATCACGCCTCCCCAGCAATCAAAGACAAAGTGCGCGATGTTGTATCTTATTAGCTTAAAGGTGTTTGCTGGTATTACTTTTTCCCATTTAAAATGTATAGCTGTACTTCCAATGTTTTTCATCGTGATTGAGCCAACAGAGTCTTTACCAATCTCGGTGGTGCAACCGAGCTCCACGACCCATGTTTTCTTTGATCTCTCTGGATCTCGAGTCCAGAACAGCTTCATCTGACCTATAGCTAAACCTGCTATGGATTCCCCAAAATCGAAACCAGATTCATTTCGCAGAAAATGGTCGCGTTCTAGATCCATTTTAAAACCATGTCTAGATTTAGGTGCTTCGGTCGCATTTGGTGTCTTCGAAGGCTCTTTCTTTACTTTCGCCATCGCAATGTTCTTCAGCTGTCGATGGACTTTATCATACTGTAACCCAATGACTGCAAGCTCCTCGAATTGTGGCACAAAATTCTCACCCTCTACCACGGGTTCGTTTTCTTGCAGGGGATAATTTATATTGTAATGAGTCCCGCATGGCCTACCCAGCATTTCAGCTATGAAATCTGTTACTTCTGGACAACCAATCCAATCAGTGACAACGTTGTAGCCCTTCTCCCGCCTCGTAAGCGTTCTGCAAATTCCATTTTTCTCAGCGACTTTTCGGGCAGCTTCGGAAAATAACTGATTATCGTAGATGATCTCTGGCGTCTCTGTTCTTTCGAACTGACCATGGGTCTTCTCTTGTCCATCGTGATCAATGTGGGGTAAGAATTGCTTCTTACGTATAAGCAGTTCCTGTCGAGATTTCCCTGAAACCTTCATTAAATGATTTTCCATTTGAAGCTCTTTCATTTTTACCTGTAAGTTAAAAGATAATAATATATGTAGTCTTCAATTAAATTAAATGTCTCTTTAACCATTGTTCTTTTCAGAAAATCTAGCAGTTTGTCTTTTTCTTCTTCTTTCTTCTTCTTCTTCTTTTCTTCAGATCTTTCCCTGTAACCTTCATTTGAGTTTTGTGAACCATCTTATCTTTAAACTTGGCCTGGCTTGAACTAGAATGCGTAGCGACCGGGTGACTAACTCCTTGTGGTCCATGTTCACGACCGGGTTTAGGTAGAAATGCCACATTCCTTCTAGATTTACGGTATCTATCATGGAATAAAGGCCGAAGGGTTGCGATATCCATAGTACCGAGCCAAAGGGTTTCTGAATACATTTTTAAAAAAAAAAAAACTGAACTCGAGCTGTGGCGTGCATACCTGTTTTATAGATCTAGCTTACTTGTCAGGTAGATGCACTCAGACTTCGATGAAGAATCTATAATTAGTCGCATTTATAACATGTTTGTTAGGGGGTAGCATATCTGTTTTTATTTATTTATTTTTATAAATATATATATTCCGCATGGGGCCTCGGAACTAATAGGGAGTTTCGTAAACTGACTCTTTCTGTACACATTTATAGCTGCTTGCTGAAGAAAACAAATGCTTGAAGGCGAGATTTTGCACTTCATTTTACCGGGTTTTATCACATATGGCGTTCTCTCTTCGCATGTCACCCACAAAAACGTCGCGTAAAGAACGGATTCCACAGCTCCAAGAACTGTCTACATGGACCTACGAAACACCCGGAAACCAAATGACGGAGTTGGAAATCAAACATGCAACCGTCAGAAGACGAGGCGAACGGACCTCTTCAAAATGGAGACCCACAGTTGGTTGCAACTTCCTTCTGGGATGGCGCTGTCCGTATTAGGTAACAAGTAAGCTGCTCATTTAAAGCAAATGCTTAGGTGGCGACCAGTTTGAAAACTATTAAGTTGTTCATTACTGTGAACAGACATCATCGGAAGATGCTCATATACATACAGCTAGTTCTGTGATTCATCAGAAGCGAAGAGCATGGGCTTTCAGGACAAGAACCAAAGTGGAAGTCATTAAAGAACACATTGGAGCCTTTGCTTTTACCACCAGCCGCATGGCAATGTAGGTCATGGCTGGGACAAAAGCCATAGAATGGCTGAAAACTCAGGGGTTAACCAATGCTCGTTTGCTCAGCGACTCAATTAGCATGCTACAGAAGATCAAGGCGGAGAACATACGGAAACATTGGCTCCTTCTGATACAGCATGCAGCGTTTTGCAAAATCGCCTTTATTTTGGTCCCAGAGTATGCTGGCGTGAAAGGCAATGAGAGAAAAGACGCTCTGGCTGGCAGTAGGATTATCAGAAATGACTCATCTATGGCAGTAGAGACCCGATCCGTGTCATACGAGAGACTAAACGCTGTGATTACTAATCACGATACCACTGCAAGGATTTTACAACACACAAATGAAGCCAAACATATAACCAGAACTATACTCACGTTACCTCTTGAAACTGGCGCAATATGGCATATTCTTTCCGGTAACTACATTCAATTATGCGAGAGTATGCCGACGTTTCCTGGGTATTACGTTTGAGAACTTCCAGAGGCTGTGGAGTTCTTGGGAGCTCCGCGGGTGCAAACCACTTGGTCAGAGGCTTGGTATTGATGGCAGATATGCTGAGCAAGTTTGGGTTGATGTCATCTTTAATCGTTTGAGATGAAATTTGGATATGTATATTTGATACGTATTCATGTTTTACCGTATTCTCATCCCAAACTCAGAGCTGTCTAGTGTAGATACTATACGCTCATTTGCCGGTCCTAAGGAATTTATTGTTCTTTAACTTTTTCTTTTTTCTTTTTCTTCTACATGCCATGCCACCCCCTCCCCACCCCCAATCCCTTGCCAACACTGCAAAAGTAGTCAATACAGGCAGTAATAACCGGTAGTATAGGACAGTGCTTCCCAAACTGTGCATCGCGGCGTCCCGGGGAACCGCGACCTCTTCACTGGGGAGCCGCGAAATATTCGAAGACAGGATTTGTCTTTTATATACGAACTAGCTGTACCCGGCCACGCGTTGCTGTGGCATAGTTTAGCTAAATGGAAATGAAAGAAAATAGAAATCGCACGTGTCTAATACAATCATTGTCTGCTCAGATATAGAGATAGTCTGGATCCCCGCCCCCCCCCCCTCACCACCACAACTAAATCCACCTACTACTCTCTCCCTCATCAAAGGTTTTTGGAAAAGAAAGACAATGGAAATCGCACGTGTCTAAATAGGTTATGTCGCAATCATTCTCTGCACAGATACAGAGATAGTCTGGTTTTCCAACTTTAGAACATAGCACCTTATAATTGTGTATTTATATTAGTGGTCGTTTAAATGGTGTTATTAGCACAGTAACAAAAATGGTTTTTTGGTTATCACATGCTAAAGCTGTTTGTATTTTTATAGGAGACGGAAGTAAAGCTACAACTGTACTTGTAAATAACAAAGAGGGTCGTAAAAAATAGAAAAGCGGAGGTAGCGTTAGTAAAATATAAACAAATTAGGTAATGAGAACTTGAAAATCACGTGTAAAGCTCTTTAAGTGCTCTTAAATTTAAGTCATTACCCCCTCCCCTCACCTCTTCCACCGACTACTGCTCTCTCCCTGTTCGAAATATTTGAAAATCATTACCTGGCGATATTTTGTTGTTGCTGTAACTGACATTGACATTCCTGTCCATCCGGACTAAAATAGGGAGCAGGAATTGAAATAGGTAGTGAATGGGGCTAGTGTAATATTTACCACATCATCCTTAAAGTACCAGTACAACTACTACCACGGCGACCACCACAGTAGCTAAAATAATGTAACTGCTATCTGTGTTACCATCGGAGTAGACAGAGAGTCGTGAGCCAGAAGATTTGGTTCCGCATGGCTAGTGCTGTCGCCACAGACTGGTCAGGTTAGGATGTATAATTTCGCTTCCCGACAGAAGAACGCCATAACCTTACCGGCGGTCTTCACATGAGAGCACTACGGTGTAACAGCCCAACCAAAACTACTACTGCTGCCGCTACTTTAGGTGGGTAAAGCAGTTACTGTGACTTAAAGCTCTCTCAGTTAACAGTTTTGCCCCCCCCCCCCCCCCCCCCCAATTCACCGACAACTCTTTCCCTCATTGAAGTAGTTGGGAGAAAAAAAACACCTGAAAAGCAAATGAAAACAGGAAAAAACACCATAATTAGGAAATGAACGCTATGGTAAACAGCACAGCTTAAAATCCTAACGCAGATGAAATAACTAAATCTAAATGAAAATATATGGAAAGCTATTTAATTTCAGCGTAACCATGCAATCAGAAAGTTTAAAAATGCAATCATAAGTATGCGAATGGTCAAATTTAATTATCAAATGGTTTACCCATTTACTTGTCTTTTTTTTTTTTTTTTTTTTTTTTTTTTTCAGTAATAAGGGCAACATGGCTAGTGCTGTCACCACGACAGAGCAGATGGGGATATTATTTTATTCCGGGGTTTTAAAAAAATCAACTACTGCTGATTCGAACCCTGGTCTCCCACACAGGAACCCGGTGTTCTAACCATTCGACCAAGCAGCCACTTCATCGAAGCAACGAAAAGAGAACTAAACTATTAGAGATGTGTGTCCCCACTACTGTGTCCCCATTATAACACAACTCAAAACCGCAGGCAATCGTTTTCTCATAGACAGATACTCCAGATATAATAATGAAACGGCACAACAATAGAAATCGCACGTGTTCTAACACGGTTAATGAAGTTAATGTCGCAGTCAATGTCTGCGCCGACGTCGAGATAGTCCTTGATCCCCCCCCCTCCCCCCCCCCCCACCCCTCCATCGAAGGTTTTTTGAAGAAAAAAAACAAAACAGAAATCGTGTTTAATATGGTTATTGTGGCAATCACTGCCTACACAAATATAGAGATGGTCTTGTTTGCTGAACCACGACCTACTCTATGTATTAGAGAAGGCGTTGGCTGCACGTAACTTGCCGGCGAATGGTGGAAGTCTTGCGTTCTGACTACGGCGCATGCGCAATTACTAACGTGGCTATAATTAGATGTCAGTAACAATTTAAATATTAGTTTCGAATATTTTTGCTTAAATTGTCGCAAACTAACTCTAACAATGACAGGTTAGATTTCAAACCATGATGGGTGAACATCCGGTATCAAAACAAACATATCCTGAAAATTTCAGCTAAATCGGTTCAGTAGTTTCCGAGTCTATAGCTCATAAACAAACACACAAACATTGATTTTTTATATATATAGATAGTCATACTTTTACTTAGGTTAAGGCGCCGTAGAAAAATTTGAATTGAAAAAAAGCGCTGCGACTAAGAAAAGTTTGGGAAACACTGGTATAAGATGTGCATTTTGCTAGCACAATTTAACTTCTTCTTCTACTTCTTTAAGTCCACGCCATGTGGCGTTGGCAGTCATGTCTATCCAACCTGTCCAACATCTTTTCTCTCGGCCTCCCTCTGACTCTCCTCCAGCTTTCCTACTGTCGCGATGTACTTAGGTTTTCTCCTTCTGATCATATGTTTTAACACAACAGACAATGGAACTCAGATCCAATAATGCCCCCCCCCCTTTCCTGTCGCCCAAATGAGGGAGAAGGAAAGGGGGGTGGGCTGATACCCTTTAAACCCTCTTGTAAGGAGCTAAGCGATTTTCTCTTCATCTGTGTATACTAATTATCTTTAAATACATTTGTTTATGCATTTCATACCCCCCACCCCCACACCCCACACCCCACACGTTTCTTGTTAAGTCGATGTGCATCTGCTTGACTAGCCAGGAACTAGCGGTCTGTAAACACATACCCCACATCTGTAAACAATGTCTTGGAACAAGACTGAAGTCCAGAAGTGGGCGAACAATCAGACCTTTGCACTAGAGTTTAAAGGCAATAAACGTGAAAAAAAAAAAAATTTCAGGAATTGTTTTTTCATATTTATTCACCATTTATGACATAGTTATTATTATTATTGTTAGTATATTATTATTATTATTATTATTATTATTATTATTATTATTATTATTATTATTATTATTATTATTATTATTATTACCCCTTAGGGCGGCGTTCTTAGCTTAGGCGTTGCGAGTACGACTCGTAATACCAACGTACCGTGGTTGAAATCCTCTGCTGGTGGCATGGATTTTTATCATGGTATGGGGCGTTGCAAGTCGACCCAGCCTAAAATGGGTACAGGATGGCTGTCCTGTGGAAGTAAAGACGGCCGGCGTAATGCTGACCACATTACAAACCTAGTGCTGATGGTTTGTAAAAATTTAGCGCTGTGCCTATATGCCAGATGCGCCTAAAGGCGTGAAAAGTTATCTTTGCTTTTTTTTTTTTTTTTTTATTCAAAACCCCTTAGGACTTAAAGCACCCTCCTTACTCTGGTAATCCCAAAATGTTTTTCTTTGCCTCGGCGCCTATGATAATAGATGCATCATGAGCTTGATTTGGAATGACAATACAACAGCTACAAATCCTAGAGACCACGTTAAACATTATGCAGTAAAACAGTTATTACTGGAAACCCTACGGCTTCACTAAGAGATTCCTTGATAAATCTGGCGTTTCTTGTTGGCTTAAGAAAAGAAAGACGTCTTCATGAAGATGCATTTTAGAGGATGAAGGACACAGTCTACTTGATTTATGAAAAGATATACATAATTTGAATAAGATTAACCTAACGATAAATGATGCAATTAATAGGCAGTAATAATAAGGGGGCATAGAATGTTCAGGTCAGTCGTAGATGTCATAATTATATGAAGAAAAGGTAAATGCCTAACACTGAAGCTGGGTGGACAAGAGATGGACTAGGAGTCCGACTGGATGGACCATAAAGACACAGACCCTGCTGTTTTGCAGACAGTAGGAACGAAACATGGAAAAGAAGAAAAAGAGAAAGAAGAAGAAGAAGAAGAAGAAAAAGAAGAAGAAGAAGAAGAAGAAGAAGAAGAAGAAGAAGAAGAAGAAGAAGAAGAAGAAGAAGAAGAAGAAGAAGAAGAAGAAGAAGAAGAAGAAGAAGAAGAAGAAGAAGAAGAAGAAGAAGAAGAAGAAGAAGAAGAAGAAGAAGAAGAAGAAGAAGAAGAAGAGAAGAAGAAGAAGAAGAAGAAGAAGAAGAAGAAGAAGAAGAAGAAGAAGAAGAAGAAGAAAGAAGAAGAAGAAGAAGAAGAAGAAGAAGAAGAAGAAGAAGAAGAAGAAGAAGAAGAAGAAGAAGAAGAAGAAGAAGAAGAAGAAGAAGAAGAAGAAGAAGAAGAAGAAGAAGAAGAAGAAGAAAGAAGAAGAAGAAGAAGAAGAAGAAGAAGAAGAAGAAGAAGAAGAAGAAGAAGAAGAAGAAGAAAAGAAGAAGAAGAAGAAGAAGAAGAAGAAGAAGAAGAAGAAGAAGAAGAAGAAAGAAGAAAGAAGAAGAAGAAGAAGAAGAAGAAGAAGAAGAAGAAGAAGAAGAAGAAGAAGAAGAAGAAGAAGAAGAAGAAGAAGAAGAAGAAGAAGAAGAAGAAGAAGAAGAAGAAGAAGAAGAAGAAAAAGAAGAAGAAGAAGAAGAAGAAGAAGAAGAAGAAGAAGAAGAAGAAGAAGAAGAAGAAGAAGAAGAAGAAGAAGAAGAAGAAGAAGAAGAAGAAGAAGAAGAAGAAGAAGAAGA